TTCAAAAGCTTTTTTAATACAAGAAAAAAAACTTAGTTCCATTTTATCCATGATAGTGCATGCGATAGTTTCTAACAAAGATTTGCTTTTCAATCGTTTTCAAGACTACATATCGTCATGCTTTAAAAAACCTACAAGAATTGGCTTCAATCACATAGTTCTCTTCTTTTTGTTCTCTTTGATTGACCTCATAAAGCCATGCACAACATAGGCCCGTAGTAAAGTTCCCGTCAGGTGATACGAACTCCCCTGACGATATGTACTTTTGCATCAAATGTGGAGCATCACCCACCCAAAAGTGCACACTTTTGCTAGCGATTTACCCAAGATTCGCTCCCAATCAATGATCTGGTTCGAAACCATTCTGTCTACAGCTTTACAGTGCACCTATGATCCTTCATGTAACTCCTACACATTGGCAAAAAAGCTAATCCTTGAGCAGATTCGAACCATGGTCAGTTGCTCAGTGGCCGCCAACCCAACCACTGAGCTACCAATACACGACACGACAAGCTTGTAGAAGTCTAATTGAAGTTAATTGTGCATGCCGTGGATCTTTGCAATCAGTTCCTCTGTACCTTGCCTGCCTTGGAGTGAGTTCACCTGACGCTCTCCTCAGGTGATCTCTGCTGAAGGGACTTTACTACGGGCCATGGTTTGATGACACTTGCAGTTTTTATGAAACAGTAACGATTTTTTGATTTGATTTTTTGTTCTTCTGACGGTGTTGAGTTCATCTGAAAGGGGATGGTTGACCCTGCGGGTCTGGTTTATCAATCACTTCCATGACCCTCGACTATAGACCTCCACCCATTGGTGTACCTCCAAAAATGAAGCGGTTCAAGGAAGTAAGCGGGAAATCAGCATAACAGCCCATCTGGAGGGCATTTGGCATTGCTTCATAAGAAGACGATTGAACTTGCATATGGCTTAATAAGCGAATATTGAAGAAAGTAAGACCTATGGAGCAATACCATGACTCTCAATTATTCTTGGACCCAGCAGCAGAGGATGAAGCCATATCAAGGATAATCGTAAAACTAGGTGTTTACAGCATCTTAAGATTGTCTTCTAGGTGTCTCAACGAAGATTTGTTTATTCCAAATGCCTGTTTCTAGACGTGTTTTAGTGATTTTAATGTATAACCGTTTCATTTTTCAGAGAGAAGCGCTTCGACTTTGACGTCCTTTTGCCGAATATGATCTAACAGTAGATTTCAAAGTACATCAATGTCAGTTGATCCATTTTGACTAAGCGCTCTCGCTCTGCTCTGTTAAGCATTGTAATGGGTTATTCAAGCAGCTATAAGCTACTTTTCTGTTTACAAGTAAAACTAAGTGAAAAAAGAGACTATTGCTCAGCGTGGGCATCATTCTACAAAAGCATACAATGCATCAGAACACGTTTAAGCACTCAAAGAACAAAACTCAAAAAGCTGGGTATTCTTTGCAGAACCACCATAGTATTCATGAAGTTAGTAGGAAAATGTACTGGGGTAGCGCATTCACAAAATTGAACCACTTGTCCGAAACCATGAGACTTAACTATTTGTCCAAATCCATGAGATTCAACTACCCTTGGACCTCCCACTGACGGCCTACCGGGGCGCTAGAAAAAACGATATGCACTATTCTAAGCCGTAATACGCGAGAAATTTTACCATGGGAGGGACAGGAGGGACATATCCTGGAGGTCTAGCTGCTCCCGA